GTTGTAGCTTTTAGGGAGTTTAAAGTGGAATTGTGGAAGTTTTAGGGAAATGTAGATTAACATAAAATTTTGGAGATTTTAGGGAGTCGAGAGTGGATTAGTGGAAGTCAGTAGAATTTGAGCTGGTCTCTAAATATGATTCCATTGGTGTTTTGAGTTGATGGACTGGACCTCTCACAAACCAAACAGATCTGGATCAACGAATTGGCTCCTTCAGATTTGGTTCACTAGCAAAAATTTGTATAAAACTAAAAATAAATAAGAATATGCATAGACAGATCAAAACGGTGGGAGCCGGTGAATCCGATGAATTTTTTACCTATAACACTGGTTCCAGTTCAAACCGAGCGAACCGGGAAAATCTTTACCGGATTCACATAGGACCTCAATCTCCACAATCGCCTTAAGGAGTAGCACGGATAATCTCTGATGCCCGTTCATGGAACCAATGGTGCAGATCATGGTCCTATGTGCATCACGTAGGGCTAGTCCAGTACAAAAGTCATTTACCTAATAAAAACGATGGTGAGAATATGCCTTTGTCAAAAAAAAATGATGATGTCAATATGCTTTTTCTTGCTTTGGATGAATACATTAGGACCCTATACAATAGCCATGCAATAAGGATGCTACATTTTGAATTACTAAGTAGCTAATAGCTTTTATTTCTTGCCATATCATTTTGACACAATTTTTATTCAAATTTGTTGATTTACTACTTTTGTGACATATGAATTGTTGAATATATAAATGTAGAAATATATGTATATATATAAACATGTGCATGCATGTAGACATATATTTTACGTGGATTTGTGTCTGGATGTTATGTTTTTTAGATTTACGTTTCTGACACTCACATCCATATGATAAATAGATTTACGTTTGTGACACTCGCATCCATATCGCAAGTAGATACGCATGTCCGTTTCTACGTGGCATAACAAGCAAAATATGTCCCAAAATAAAACTTATTCTTCATTTTCTTTGCTTCATTCGGCAGGCTAGGAATGGTGTGGACAATCCGAGGTTGCGATTCTCTACTGATGGTGAAAATTTCAGCAATTTTCACCTTTTCACCAAAACAATCCTGATTTGCTTGGTAGTTGAAGTTCGTAAGGCATTCACCTTAAACAATCAAAGATTTTATACTCCCATGGGACTATACTATCAATTTTAGGATAACGAAAAAAAAAATCCAAATTAAACAATCTATATACTAGAAAAAATATATTGTATCAATATTGACAAAAGAACATCTAATTTTTTGTATCGAAAAGCTCAAAATTCAAATTTTTATTTTGAAATAATCATCTAGTGATTGTTAGTATTCAGATTGCAAAAAATCTCTGAAGTAGGTGTTTTGACTAAGAGAGTAAATGCACAGTATATGCTTCAACAGGAGTATATTATACATGCTCATTAAAGAGTAAGAAGATGCACTTTTGATGCCACAAACCTTACGATGTTGAAAATTTAATTCTACCTCTACTCATAAAACTTAATTGTAAGAAAATTTATTTTTAGGATTTGAAATACTTTTTTTTTTTTTTATATATATATCTTTATATCTTGAGCTTGAAATGATAATGAAAGGTTTTCCAAGGGCCAAACAACTTTTTCAGAGCTTACATAAATATTTTCCTTTTACTTATTGCTTTTCCTTTGTTCATTAAAACTCAGTCCAAGTTGTTTTTGATAAATGAACTGATATTGGATATCATGCTGAAAGAGAGTATTTATTGCATTTCCATATTATGAGAGAGAGAGAGAGAGAGAGAGAGAGAGAGAGAAGGGGGGGAGGGGGACAGAGGGTTTGGGGTGGAGTAAGACTCGCTGATTGCCTTACTTGGCCCGCCCCATTGGCAATGCGAGTTTTGCTGCACGTCGAATTTTTTTGTTATATAGAATGATGTATGTATCCTTTTCAATTCAAATATGCTCAAAGGGTTGCCGGATAGTGCGCGCGTTCATTTTGCATTCTCGAATCCCATCCTTGTCTTTCTTTTTGTTTTATCTCTTAATTTTTTTTACTTTATTTTTTATTTTTTGAAAATAGAGCTGGACTCGGGCAAGCTAGTCGTCTCGGCCAAGAGCCGAGTAATTTGGCCGAGTCGATTTTCAAAACACTGACAAGTCATATTCCTGACATCAATGCCATTGATTTCATGAAGCTTGTGCATACGGGTGGCAATGGCCCCGAACCCAACGGCTATACCCGACATGGGTCTGGGTGTGGGTCAAAAAAATGGACCTGACGAATTGGGTCCGGGTCTAAATATTAAACCCGAATACTATTCAGGTCTGGATCTGGATCTGGATCCAATTGGTTCCAGGTCCAAAATATAATTTTGGGTTGGATGAGGTTTCTATAAGGCCTAGGCTTTATGAAAACAAATAAAGCCTCACCTCAAATCCACGTTTGGAAAAGGAAATCTCCACAATGGCTCTCAAATTAATTTCCAATACCTACAGTAAAATTAGAAACTAAAAAAACATTACAGATCTTATGGATCTATAACACTTATTTTAAGGGTTAAATGGATGGTCTAGATAATTTGTTACAATATACACTATTTTTAGAGCTTAAAATCTTAATTTTTTTTTCACAATTATAGTGTTCCAACCAAGATGGTCGATGTAATGGTTTGCCAACGCTTGAATTTTAGGTGAAGCTTTACTTATATTGATACGATTGCAGCCCTATCAAATCCTTTTTATATATTAAAAAAAATTAAATATAGTTAAATACATAGGTATTGGAATATTTGGATCAGGTGTGGATACGGTGACTTCAGGTCCAGGTCCGGGTTCCATAATATTTTTTGAGAGAAGATGTCTTATTCAATGGCAGCTTCACTCTGCCGAAGTTGAAGCTTGAGATAAAGTGAGAAGAACTCGATTTGTGTAAGATGAACTAATTTTGGAAGGGTGGTAAATGGTCATTGCCACTGAATTTTGTCCTCTCTCTCCAACCAAAGAGAAAAATATCCTAGTGTTTATTTATCCACAGAGAGAGGACATGATGAATCAAATTCGTGGGCTATTGCCAAAGTGTTTGTTTTTAATGTATTTTGTTATCACTATTTATCATTCTTTTTATTATTTGGCAATGTCTTTCACAAATTTATTTGAATAAACTTATAAACAATTTACGAAGTAACTTTATCTTTTTGAAATGTATTTTTTTTATTCAAAGTGATATACTAGCATGACTATTTTTTTTGGAAAAATAGCTGAAAATCTTAAAATAATAATAATATTAATTGAATCATGAAAGGTGCAAAATTTTACGTTGGTCGCTTATTTAACACAACCCCACCTCTTTTATCTGAAAAATAAATAATGGTATTGTATACAATGAGACCATTTACCTTAGCATAAGATGGTCACAATTACTTATAACCATCCAATGTGAAATCTGATAGCTTAGGTATGTCACAAAGTTAGAAAAATTTTCTTTTGAACATTGACCTTGGTCAATAAAATAAATGCGGCCACCCAATTTTACATCCAGTGGTCAAAGTTAGTTATGACCACTTTATACAAAAGGTTAACGGTCTCATAATATACTTTCTCATAAATAATTAAATAATATTATATATAATAGAAAGTATGTACCAAAGAGCAAGCAAATTTATAACATGCGAAGTATATTGAACTCGGATAAGATGGTCCACTCGTCATGAGATTAACTGTCATTTAAACGAGCTCAAATATGAAACCTGCGATATCCTTTCTCTCAATAAAATATTGCCAAAATATTAAATCTATGACATAGGTGTTAGAAAAAACATCTCATTTTTCTCTTAAAAAGCTAAAAAAAAAATTACATGCAGGACATCTCTGCCTCCCTGAAAACAATGTCTAAGATTGAATTTGTGTACCATAAAAATTATGTCCAGTATTGAATTTGTCCATGGTCCAATGTAGGTGTTCATGAACTTGAACTATATTTTTCTTTTACAAGCATTTGCTTGGTGAATTTAAATTGGACACAAAATTCCAAACCATTTAGGCCTATTGCCGAAGTGAGTCAAGTATATAGTATGCTCCCACAAGAGTATGCTGAATTTCAAGTCCATTTGCTAAAAAGTTAAGTTGAACACAAATTGTATTTTATTTTTTATTTTTTTCTTTTGAAAAGGTTACATAGGAATGGGTATTGAGACATAGTGCTATGAAACCTAGTTGTTACTGTCTTAGCCCAAGCCCTATTCCTATATTTCTTGGACCTTAATATCCCAGGGCACTGAGTTCATACAACAAATTCTCAATCTTCACTAGAAACCTATGTAATTTATTGATTCTATAAGCTCATGTCTTTGTTTTTTTGGGAGTTTTTACTCTTTCCTAGCATCAATGAAGTATTTATAGGGTTCTCGGTAATCTCTAGGTTGTAGAATCGAGAATCCCAAATACCGGGATCCCACTCAATATCATGTATTTAATTGGTTAAATGCGAAATAAATGAATAAAACTATAAATCGAGTGCAAGAAATAAAACAAACATAAAAATCACACTACAAGTCGAAACCCACTATCACAATGAAGATCTCCCGATTGAGAGACACCGTCCATCAATACCTTCTTTCCCATTGCAATGCCGCTACGAAAAAGATAATATTGAGAGCAACCGAAATATTTTCTCACATTAGAAATGGAAGCCTTATCAACCCAAAACTCATGAAAATACTGCCACTCTCTAGAAAAATCTATCTTGGAGACCATTCTCCATCTTAGAGACCCTTTACCATAAACCCCAAATAGTCAGTCACCTTGGAGACCATTCTCCATCTTAAAGATCCCTTCCCATAAACCCCAAAGGGGTGACCCTGATAGAGATCCTTTCCCATAACCTCCAAAAGGGTGATCCCGGAAATGATAGGTATTTTGTCTTCATTCACTCCCATTGTTTATTATCGAAATTACTTTTGAAAAAAAAACAAATTAAGACTTTGAACCTAACTTTTCTTCGTAAAAGAAATATTTTCAATCTCTTGAAACCCCAACCCATTATACATTTGTAAGACACCAATATACATTTGTAAGAGACCAATTTTTTCATTCAAATCCAACCAAGTGCATGTCACAATATCATTGCCCCGAACGATCCCAGAACTTGTTGTAGGATCGATCGTCAAAGTCATTGACTCAATTTAAGGGGGAAAAATAGTTACAACTGTATAAAAAAAAGGAAAAACCTAAACCTGTATTAATTCTGGTATAAGTTTGAAGAGGAAGGACAGTTCCTTTGCAGAAAATTTGGGTTTTGAAGTGACCCAACTGTCTCTCTCATCAATTCCTGCAACAGCGGTATCCTCTTCTTCTGTGGACTTGTTGAAGCTCGAAACTGCTTGTGAAATCTCTCTTACAAGATCCACAATCACGCCATCGACGCCCATCAGGTTTTGCATGTAAACAGCTTCAGGTACATTGCTGTTTATTTCCAGTCAAATAAATAGGAAATGTTAGCTTCATTCAACATTTACACAGATGAGCATTTAATTTAAAAGACTGTATCAATAGAAATCAGAGAAATTTAGCTGAATACACCCTCTTCAAATTGAAGCCAATTTTCAGTTTAATTTAGAAAATATGTGATGATTCTAAAGCAATGTCGAACAAATACAAATGTGAGTGATGTATTGTTTCAAAATTATTCAACTTTTCGATAAAACAAGAGATTTTATAGCTTGGCTCCTGGTTGGAAGAGAGAGTAAGTTCCACAGGAAGGGCCTCAAGCATTAACAGGGAAGAAAGGGAAAGTGGGGTTTGCTTACTTTAACTGGCCGTAGGTGAGGAGAGAGAGATTGGCTTCTTTGATCTTTGAAATGAAGCCTGGATTCCTGAAAATTGCTTTTACTTCTGAGACAACTCCCTGTAAGCCTCCAGCCAAGCAGAGTTTTATGGCTTCTTCAAGGGAGTTCCTTCGAACATCACTGTATACTTCAGATCCTCCATTTGAAAGGAAGAAGACCTGTTAGGGGAACCGCAATTGTTCACAAGCATGTAAAAAAAAATCTCCCAAAGAAAGTCTGTTTGAGAGAACCCCAATTATTCACATCTCTCTCTCTCTTATATTTGATGGGAACTTACGGGGTATGTGCTCTGCAGCTTCCTAACCAAGAGTGCTGCATCTGGCTGAAAGCTTGATAAAATGATAGGCCTCTCATTGGAGTATTCAAATACCACCTGCAAATCAGAGATTGCTCCTATTAAAGCAAAATCCATAGATTAAACATGAAAAAAAAAAAACATAATTTCTAAACGAAGGATTGCATAAGCTATAATCGATTAACCAAAGGAAAAGATCAAATTAACTATCATAAATTGCACCCAATAGTCTTATTTAATTTTGGGACTATAGAGATCACACTGGAACAACCCCCTAATATTGCCTCTGAAGTGATAAGGAAAAAGCCTCCTCAAAATTGCACTCTTATTTAAGTGATAAAAATAAGTAAAATTTAATCAGGAGAATATGAGCTACCCAGAAATCAGCTTGTGCAAAAAGTATTGTCAAAAATTACCTGCAAAATTACTTGGAGGGTATGGATAAGATCATGTTCTTGGTAATTGATGTTGTCATCAAATTTGAGTTCGATATTGAAGCCCAAGGTCGGATCAACTTTCAGAAAGGCTTCTTGCAGGGTGCAGAAGGTGTCATTCTCTTCCACATTCCAACTATGAATTCTCCCATCTTTTGTTTTTCTTAACAGCGATTTTCCTTCCTGTAAATTGAAGAAACAGTGAGTCAAAACCATATTCTTTTGTCACTTTTCTATGACTTTCTAATATGCTTTTGTAACTTCTCTCTGTATTTCTAATTCTATACTCTCTCATTAGGATTCAAGAGGAAGAGGAAGAAGAAGAAGCAGGAAGAAGAAGAGGAAGGAGGAGGAAGACTCAGAAGAAAAAGAAAAAGCAGAGGAATCAGGGCACGGGCACTCAGGAAAACTGTGACAATGCAGAGAGAGATGCAGAGGAATCATGGCACTCAGGAAACTGTGACATGGAAAATTGAGATTTTGGTGCCCGAGAGAGAGATTCACGGCTAAGAATCCTGTCCCTGAAATTTCATATCAAACAAAAAAGAGAGTGAAAAATAAGATATACTTACAATTGCAGAGTCTCTCTGGGGGCCGTAACCAAGAAATTCCGAGAGGGTGAGATCTGTGAATCTCTTTTCACATAAACTCCCCTGTAAACACAAATATTATCAAATTTACTGTCAGATTAAAACAAATAAATTAGAAAAACTGGGTATTTCTAATTTTCAGAAAAATGAAAAAGTGCATAAAAAAATATGAATAATCGAGAGAAAAAACTTACATTTTCTTCTGTGAGGATGAAATTGTCATGGAAAATAACGGGGCAGTCATCGTTGGTCACCTACAAAAATTACAGTCTCTTCTAAGACTCTCCCATCTCCATTTTTTTTATATTTTTATTATTAAAGAGGAAAAAAGACACCGTAAATAAACCAATCAGCACCTTTATTTACCATGCGATAAAAGATAAAAAAAAGCAAAACAGAAAATAAAATAATATAAACGACAATAAAAATAAAAAAAACACTCGTGAGTAATCGGTCAAAGTTCAAACTTCAAACTTCAAAAAGTCTCTGTTACGCGGCGTAAGGCTGTCGATTCGAAACTTCGCGAGATTTCAAAATTTCGGATATAAATCAGTTTTCTACATTTATAGTTCCGTACTTCGTTACCGCCAAAACCACACTAAGTGTTTCCGTCCTCCGGATTACATCATTGAAAAGGTAATGCTTTTATGTTTCCGCGGGAGCATACGGTCGCTTGGTAAATCTTTTAGGTCCTCAAATTTTGTGAAGCGCTCTTTTCCAGCCATCAAAGGACTCGCAAAATAACATAACACAAATCAATATAAATGAAAAAAGAAATTTAAACCTCCAGATGTATTAAATTATTTAAAAACAAATTTATATTTTGAAAATAATTGAAATTTAAACCTCCAGATTTATTAAATTATTTAAAAACAAATTTATATTTTGAAAATAATGTTTCGAACACAAAAATTTTAACCCAAAAAAGAATATTTGCACTTTTCGTACAAGGGAGCAAGAGGACACCATGGTTCTGCGGGATCTATTATCTACTATTAGAAAATCTAGAAGGTTAGCCGCGTATTTTCAAAGTATTTGCGGATATTTACTTGTTGCTCAATATTCGACAAAAATCAGTTACTATTTGTAGAAATATAGCACGTTGTTTATCAACTTCTCTTAAAATTTTCATAAACCTATCGCCATTTTAATTGCCTGCTTAAAAATTTCCGGCCAACTTAACTGAAAAAGGTACAGACGTAATCGGAAAAATCTAAGAAAAGCCTCTAATTAAAATTCCATGCGAACGGTAAATCAACCATTCCATGCGAACGGTAAATCAACCGGGAAAAGAAAATCAGGCGAGTTGCAGAGCACATTAAATTTCAGGGAATCAAAGAGATACTTCTTTAAAGGCCCTCACATTAAAAATCCGAAAAAAAGAAAAGAGAGAGTGAGAGAGAAGGAGATCTTTCCTTAAATCAAGTGAGAAAAATAACGAGATTGATATCATCGTTTTTACCTGAACGTCAAATTCAACGAAATTGAGGTCAGCTTTAGCAGCGTTGTTAAATGAGAGAATGGTGTTCTCTTTGATGGCCTTCATTCTTTTATCAGGCGATTGAAGCATATTCATGCCGCTTCCTCTGTGCCCTATCACCATAAACATTGGCGGCTTATAATTCATTCTCACCGATTCAATGCCTGCAAAAACCGGACAAGAAACACTTCAAAATCCCATAAAATCGCATCAAAAACGAAAGACCAACAATAGCCGGAAACAGAGGATATTTGGCCAGGATCATCTCCAGAAAACTCCTTACCAGGCATATACAGGCTAGCGGAAAGTGCCACGCTCTCAGGCACATGATCTAGATTAGGCACATCTGAAACATGAACTGCTTTGAGAGCCATTATCGTCGGGAAAGGAACTAGACTTCGAAATAAACAGCCCGAAAATCAGAGACGATCGCCGGAACACAAAAACAGCAGGGGAAAATCCTGAGCTTGCAAGAAACCACGTTAAACCCTGGCCCTGAGGGGCCAAAGCAGGCAGGAAAAAGATCGGTAATCCTCAGAATCAGCCGGAAACTTCCAAGAACCACCGGTAACCTTCCGAAACTCTCCGGAAATTCTTCAAACTGGCCGTAAAGCAATCAAACACAAGTCGAAACTCGCCGGAAAACTCACGTAGCGCGCCGGAAAAAGAGCCCTATGGGGTTTCTCGGGAAATCGATGACTGAAAGAGGCCCAAAAGGCCTGGAGATTTAATACGCGCCAAGGAGGGTGCCTGAGGAATACACGACGGCATATTCCTCCGCTGCTTTTTCCCTATGCTTTTTTTAATCCTTTTTCGAATTATCCAACGGCTAATAATACGTATGGATGACGTGGAACGATGTGGACCCTCTTCTTGTCTTTATCCTCTGTGATTCTCTGTTTCGTTTAGGCAATGGTTCTTAGCACATTCACACCTGACGGAATATTCGTCTCCAAGGTAGGCCCCACTTCGATAAGGCGTGAAGGGCCTACGGCCGTTGGCCAGGCCGTTTACATACGGCGACTCGATGGCTCCTCCCCATTCCTCGAAGCTCCGAATCGCGTGGCATACGCAACGGAATATCCTTTTATGGATTTCAGCCACGTGTCAAGATATGAATTACACGGCATAATCTTCTTTTCTAAAAATTATTTATTCCAGCCTTCTTTTCTTTATTTATTTATTTTAGCTTTCTCTTTTTTTTTTAATAAACTTAAAATCTCCTTATTTATTTTTTTTCTTTTTTTTTCTTTTTTGAATTCGCACTAAAAATTATTTGGATTAAGTACTAGGCCAATACTATAATGCCATGGTACGACACTTTTAAGTGCCGGACCGACTTCTTGAGAAAAAGAAAAAGAGGGTATTTTGTGAAAAATGACCCGATGTAAAATATAAATAAAATATATTATTTTTAATTTTAACAAAAATAAAGCGATTTAGATGTAATTATTTACTTTAGCTTTCTTTATTAGGGGGTGGAATTTATAGAGGAATGATTCGAATGCCTTGAAAATTTAAAATGTGAGCAATTATGTGTTCGTTACGAACATCTCTAGCTATTAGATGTAAAATTCAACAGTTTGATATGTAACATAAAGTTTGAAAAATAAAATATCTCTAGCCATCACATATTAAGTCAAGCAATTAAGGGTGTATCCCAAAGTCTAGGAATCTTTTTTTGAATTTGAACCCGATAAATAGCATACTTAATTGCCACTCAATCACACATCTTTCAGCTAAAAGTCATAAGGAAAATAGTTAACTAAGGCTGTAGGCATATCAAAACCTACACTTACACTCATTTCTCTTATTAAAGGAATCGGTGAAGCACTCATCCACCTTTCAAGCACCCATCTCCATAAAATGAATGATTGAGATTCTAGAAACTTGTAAATCCATCTCTTGACATCAAAATCCTGAAATGTAGCAAAGGAAAACGATAGAAAAACAGAAATTTTAATTTGAAACCTTGAATGCCATTCTCAACGTACAGATAAATAAGTTTTTGACGTACAAATGTTAAAAAAGAGTACATTTAGATAGGTGGACTATGTGTGGTTCACGTCTAGTACAACATTTATTATGAGGTGCGAGTTAGTTCAAGTGGAAGGCTAAAAAATGACAAGGGTTGGCCCAGAAGAACGTGGTTGAAAGTAGTGAGAAAAGATACATAAACTTATGGCATCACTAAGGTATGACCCTTAATAGAATGGAATGGCAGACCAGGATTCATATAGCTAACTCCAATTGGTTGGGAAGAGGTTTTAACGATGATGAAATATTAAGGGAGGAGCTTTAATGTTTTTTCATGAGGTAAAGACCTCGTGCTATAACTACCCAAAAATGATGAAAATACTTGTAATACTATCTTTTATTTTTTTAACCGTTTAAAAAGGATTGTATACTTCGAGATTATTTATCTTTATTATAAAGAGATGTAATTACTCCTAGTCATCAAATGTCAAATTGGATGACTATAGGTTTCATGAAATTTAAGATTTTTTTTATTAACATTAAATCTAATCAATTACATACTTAGAGTTACTTGATTTAAAATTCGATAGACAATAGTAATTCTAATCTCTTTATACTAAAAAAAAATGGTTTTACATACTTTTCCTTCTTATGTTGGATAAGAAGTGGCATTGAGTTGAGGTGGTTACCCTTGTTATAATTATATTGTGATATTTTTTAGTTAGAATTATTTACAAAGAGAACATTTATCATTTTTATATAGAGGTCATCATCATTTTTGTCCTTTCAATTTCAAAATAGGTAGTTATAAGAATATCATTGAATGGACACAAAGTTCCAAAAAAAAATTCTCGAACTTTGTCACTGTTGACAATTATATAAACCAAATATTGAGTTTCAGATCTTGTATATTAAAAGAGGGAAAAGATGAGATTAGCCCACTAGCTCATATGAACATATGAGCCCAACGTCCCAGATTGATTCTGGGTCGATCTGAAGATCACAAATGTTTGGTAGTATTTGAATTTTAGTTTTTTTTTTTTTTCTACAAATCCAAATCATTTGAAATTTTAGACGTGTGTTTATCAAAAA